TGTCTTTTCTTTCTTTCTTTCTCTCTCTTCCTCCCTCTTTTTATCTCTCACACACTACATTAGTTCAGAGCGGCATCAGCCCGATCACACCGCCTCTTATTGACTATTAATGACTGCATTCGCCTCTTTTGTGTTTTCAGATAATGACTCTCATACAGGACATACCTGTTCCAGTGATCGCCATGGTGAATGGCGTCGCCACGGCGGCTGGTTGCCAGCTTGTTGCCAGCTGTGACATTGCCGTGGTGACGGAGAAGTCCACCTTTGCCACCCCGGGTGTCAACGTGGGTCTGTTTTGCTCGACGCCGGCGGTGGCCATCGGCAGAGCTGTGCCGAGGAAGGTGAGCAATGAACGCAGGGAGGACATCGGCAGAAAGCACTCGTCTATTTTATATTTTATTAGGTGTATATTTTTATTTTTATTTTATTTAAGATATTCTGACATATAATAACCAGATTTTAGGGATCTTTGCCAAAGATATCTTATATGATTATATTACAAACCAATATCAGCTGATATATTGTTATTAAGTAAATGTTTTTACCGTCACTAATATATATATAATTGTATACAAACATCCAGTATAAAGCCCTTTGGGTCAATCTTTTTACCAGGTTGCCATGGAGATGCTGTTCACAGGGACTCCCATCTCAGCCCATGATGCTTTGCTGCACGGTCTGGTCAGTAAGGTGGTGCCAGAGGAACGACTGGAGGAGGAGACATTGGCCATCGCCCGGCGGGTGTGTCAGGCCAGCCGACCTGTTGTAGCCATCGGCAAGGCCACCTTCCAAAGGTGAGAGTTTTTCAGACCACAGACGGAACTTTTTTTTTTACCTTTTCCTTGTGGTTATTGAGGTTTTTTAAGGTCCAAGGATGCTTTGGATTTCAAGTTTCAGGGAAGAGTTAGCCGGAGTTATTAGAATGTTTTAAGGGCAAAATATTCTCCTAACCATTCTCCATTATAATCAGGATTCTTCACGTGAAAACATTTGAAACATTGTGATTAATACACATATTTTTCCCTTCCCGTGTTGCGTTTTCCCATCCTTTGTTTCCTCCGAAGACAAATGGCTCAAGGTCGAGATGCAGCGTACGCCACAGCCTCCAAGGTGATGGTTGACAACTTGGCTCTGAGAGACGGACAGGAGGGGATCCGGGCCTTCATAGAGAAACGCAAACCAGTGTGGAGCCATAAAACAGAAAAAGCCCACGACTGATGGACTGACGTTGGATCACTGCAATGATCTCGTGATTATCCTGACTGGTGCACTGGTGTGGAATAATTAACACCAGTTCCCAAAGCCAATGTATGAGCTGTATCGCTACAAGTAAAATGAATAATTAATAATTTACAAGATGACATTGATTGTTTGAAGTGTTGACTTCATCTTTCATCACGAGGATTCCCTCCTTTTGAGCCGTTGTGTGCCTTAAAAGCTGCAGTGTGGAGCAGAAAATACACTGTTACCACCCAGAGGACTCAAAATGTTTAATGACATAGTGGACTCATAAAGCTAATGGAGAATGAATGCTGCTCTTTGTATTCGTATAATGTTAAATGCTATATAGGTTACACATAGTGGTAGAAATGATTCCATATGTCCAGCATGTTATCAGGGCAAGAAGACCTACTGGTTGAATCATCAGCACAAAAGATAGATTGAGTCAATGAAGCATTTTGAATTTGTTGTACAGATCTGATTTGTGCCTTTGTCTTTCTTCATCATCTAAACTGCTGGTTTCTTAGAAGCAAAGTGTAAATAATTAAAACGATGGCCAAAACAACAAGGTTACAGTATCATTCAATTTAACACTATATTAATATCCTCAGAACATTGTAATGGGGTTTTTAATGGAGAAAAATATTTCTTACTTTCTTCCACTTTGGAACATAGTTGAGGTCCTATAAACCATAAATTTCACAATAAAACACCACAAAATACAAGAAATTGAGCAGTTTTAGCTCAAGCAGAGCTATGGGTGATTGGCTACCAGGAGGAGGAGACTGGCATACAAAAAATGTAATCAGATTATAGTTACATTCACTAAAAATGGGAATTATTTAGCAGGGTTAGAATATTAAAATACATCAGTTAATGCTGAGTAGAAGAAACATTTTTGATGGTAAAAATCTTTCCATTTCCAAGGTTATATTGTTCGGTTTTCTTATCAAATAGACTCGCATCAACACTTCTTTTTGACATTTCTTTCGGTTTCATTCAAACATTTGGAGCTGAAGTAATCCAACTTTTCAATGTGCATATGTGATAACATTCAGGTTGTTTTAGTTTTTATTCACAAACAGGTAAACAGAGACAATACATAAACAAACAATGGACTTACAGGAATAATACATTAGTTAAATTAATTATACAAGGTAAATTAAAGTTTGGATTTCTTTCTTATTTTTACAGTAAAGGAGTAATTTAATGTATTGTTTGACTTTTCTTTCCAAATAAAAAAAAGATGGTTTATAATTGGAAAATTTAGATTTTGTGGATGTGAAATTTTGCAAGAAGTTTGATGATATATAATAATATAATAATTATAGAATATATTTTCATTTAAAAGAGTAAAATTAGAGACAATATACCTGGAAATAAAAGCATAAATATAATTTAAGTTCCTGCCTTTTATTTTATATATGGAGGAGAAATGTCACTTCCGGCCGCCATATTTGTTTGGTGGTAACTTTAAAGCGGATTAAAAGAAGCAAAATTTTAGCCCAAACGCCATTCTGTCTGACCGCTGCAACTCTTCAAAAGTTAACATTAGGGCGGATTACAGTTCTGTATCTGATGGAGCTTAGGAAGGCAGAGAGAAGATAAATCAGTCGTTAAACTGTAAATTAAATATCTATTTTTGTTGGTCAGACAAAAAAAGCTATTTGAAAGGGTCACCTTTTGTTGTGATGGACATTTGTCACTATTTTCTCTTATTTTACAGACTAAACCATCATTTCTGACTGATTAATTGATAAGGGAAACATTGTAATATTGTCTATGGATAAGAAGCTTCTTTACTTGTATTTTAATGTAGATGGAAACATGTTTGTTGTATAGATTTAGGATGGCAACATCAGTGTTTAGGTCTCACTCAACACTCACTGTCTGATAATAAATTATGAGTTAGGTTTCTTTCAATTTCTTGCAATTATCTGTTTAATTATTGGTAATAATATGCAATTTAAAGGTCAAGTGTGTAACATTTAGGAGGATCTATTGCCAGGAATTGAATCTAATATTCATAGGTATGTTTTCCATAGTGCAGAATCACCAGAATATAATAATTATTACATTTTTTGTTACCTTAGAATGAGCAGATTATATCTACAGACACTGCGGGTCGCTTTCCAGGGAGTAATAAATAATAAATATAATTGTTAGTTAAGTCTAATCAACAGGACCTGTGTTTAGGGATTTATTTTGTAAATGTATATTATCATTTAATGTGTGTGCGAGATATTTAAACTACAAATTTGAAGAGTTTATGAAACTCTTTAGTGAACAATGTCACTCTGACACTGATGAATGAGGTTGTAGTTTTATTGCGTGGCCACATGATGGCGTGCTTGTGTTAATCTGAGAGGAGAAAGTCAGGCGGATGTACAACAATCCCACAGTCTGCAGATGATATAGATTAGCATTTATTCTTGCACAAGAAACAATGCTGTTGGTACAGATATGATCTTTCTTTACTGGCCGAGCAGACTTTTGAAGCCTTGCTGAGGGAAAGCAGAGTAAAGTTGTGATCAGTGTAGAAAAGTTGTTGAAGTAATGGTTGAAATATTTAGACCATATCAGTACTGATTTTTTTTTTTCCATAATCAGGGAAAAAACTTTATACTTATACACTTTATACACTTTTCTACCAACAATAACTACAAATATTGGTATAATAATAATAATAATAATAAGTATTTTAAATTCAATTTACAGCAGTAGGGCTGCAAGTAATTACAGAAAATGTATATTAACTATCAGAGTTGTTACAGATTATTTTTTGTTTAACTGAGTCAGTTTAATACTTTCAGCTCTAATTTCCAGTTTCACACAACCTAATCTACGGCTCTGTAGGGTAGAGGCATTTATATGGCATTTGATATGTATGCTATCTTATTTCAGTTGCATACCAAACCTTCCCCACCTTCTCAGGAGTTGTCGGATCAATCAGCAATTTATTCCAGCGAGTTATTCTGAGCTTTCCTCTTAATATTTATCCTCTCATTTATGCAGATTTCCCCCCCACTGGACCAAAATAACACGATTGAACTCAAAATTTTGGGATTCAAAGCAACATCCCGCTGCATCACGAGCATCTCTTTTAGCACCTCTTACCTCAGATTTGTCATCTTATTTACACAAGTGTTAACACCACCGACAACAAACATCCTGTGCAGGCATCAGAGGCAGGGTTTTGTTGTTCCCCGGGGTTTGCTCTTCCTGCAGAGCTCTTGGCATGACATTCTTCTGAAGCCGTCTTCAGCTCATTTATTCAGAAAAATACAATAACAGCATGCAAGCAGGCGACTGAGTGACGTTATCAGGCTTCCTACAAGCTCTTATTATAATGTGTGCAGCAGCATGTCATTTATTTCTGTATAACTTACTTTAATCAACTTATTAATCATTTGGTCTCGAAAATTGTGAAAAAATACACATTACAGTTTCATAAAGCCAATTTTGATCTCTTCAGTATTTGTCCAGGCAATAGTCCAGACCCCCCAAATTATCAATTTATTATCTGAAGACACATGAAAGATGAAAATCTGCACTATTGAGAAGCTAAAAGTAGGAAATATGTGGTATTTTTGCTGTAAAATGTTATTTAATCAATTATCAAATTGTAATATTTCTGTTCAGTTTTCTGCAAAAAATATTTAATTGGAAGAAAGTCAGTAGCTTAACCAAATATCTCTTTAAAATCCAATATATCAGATAAATCATTATCAGCCTTCCTTGTGTGACAAGTTTGGTTTTAAGATATGGATGCTACTACCACTACTTCATGATTTACATTGTGAATTATTAACCCAAGTAATTGTTTAGAAAATGAAATGTCAGAAAACGGTGAAAAATGTCCCAGAGAAGCTGTTTTAAAATGGCTTGTTTTATCTGACTTAAATGACTATATATTATGAAATTGAAAAAAATAAACCAAATTTAGGATTAATATAGGTCTGGAGGCTCAGAATTATTCTGCCTGTACTGCATCCTAACTCAATTTAAAAACTCTCCTTTTTGCCGCTGCAACATTATTCTACAACTACAGTTCCCCACTGGGGGGCAGAGTTTCATTATTAGTGGAAAAAGGCAAAGCAGCAGAATTAAAACCCTGTGGAAATAAATGCCTATGATAAGATTTACAGCAAGTAAAAAATACAGAGCCAGAGATTCATTTTCACCCCACCTCATTTTATTAAGCAAAGTATCAGAACGGTCTGCAATTAGTTGTTTAACAAAAAACAAAGATAACTTAGGGAATGTAATGAAACAGTACGGCAATACTGTTGGAGAGCAACTGCTTCAAAACCAGAGTATGAGGAATAATAACAGGGAATGTGACTGATTTTAAATGTTGACATGTATAAGTGTGTGTGTGTGTATGCCAGTGGAAGTGCAAACAGTAGTTGATATGACAGTGTTGAGAATAATAAGACGTAATGAAGTAAAAGCAAAAACTTGTGCGGAAACTAGTTCACACCACATCTCTGGCAGCGTTTGCTCAAGATGTGGTAACGACAGTACAGCAATTAAAAAAAAACATGTTACCTAATGGTTACATAGCAAATCAGAACAAATAAAACATATATATTATTATTATTAGCCCTCACAAATTAGCTTGATTTCTTGAGTCTCTAATTAGGGTTGGGATTTAACCAATAATTACACTGGCCTCAAATATGTGTAAATACTCACTGTACTTCACGTTTTTAAGAGAAATGAATTGCACACCAGTTAATCTGGAAGGAATATCATCACTGGAAAGTTAAAAACTACAAAGTAAACAAGAAATCCTGCTCTTTCTTTCAATATTGAAATGGAAAATCAAAAAACGTACAGTACTGCGCTTCTAATTTTATCATTGGACATCGTATTATTTCTTCTCCTTTTGGAAAAATAACATTCACAAGCATTTATAGAGTAAATCCATCTCTAATGTAAATATCTGCAAGTAACATATAAAAAAATAAAGATGGGAAAATAAATCAGAGTTTTTGCTCTCAGGGGAGAACATTCCCCTGCTACTGATAACAACTCAGCTCATATTAACAAAAAAATCCACTGTACATATCCGACTCTAAAAGATATATACTGTCACCTCTCGTTAATGATTTACATCCAAAAATAAAATAAAATCTTCAGTCAGTTTGTTTGTTTTTTTTCTTTCTCTTGTTAAAGTGATCAGTAAAAACGTCAGAGGCTGGTGCGTCCTGCAACGTTACGATGCAGCGTGACAGTCAGAAGGTCAGTACTTCACACATAAAGAACATCAGAGCAGAAACAAAACCAGGTTCCTAACAAAGCTAGGACTAACTGCTCGTCTTTACCACAGTGTCAGTGACTACACCTCAGTTTGTTTTGTTTTATTTTTACAGTGTCTCGCCATTTTCTCCCTCTTCCCATCACAGCAGCATGGACTCCTGCATGGCAAACGCCTCCTGTGCGTGCCTGTAGTGTGGTCCTCCAAACAGCTGGGGGAGCTGTTGCCTTATGACAGGCTGCTGCTCCTGGAACTGTGTCCTGTAGTGAAGCAGGCTGTCTGGGTTGGGTGGAAAAGTGAACTCCTGAACGGGAGACATTTGGGCTCGCTGGAAGCTGGGTGAGCGGGGCATCCCACCTGGGGATTGAGGGGGCAGCTCGTCCTCTGGCGCCCACTGGAGCCCGTCTACGGGCCGCCGAGGCCCAACCTCTGGCAGGTAGTGCGGGTTCGCTTCGCCTCTCCTGTGGCCCTCAAACCTGTAGTCCATTGGGGCGTAGACCTGGGCGGTGGAGGTGAGCTGTTGCAGGTAGATGGGGGTGGAGCGCCCCTGGGTTTCCAGCTGCAGGGAGTGCTCCGGGGGAGGCCTGGCGTTACGGGGGTTTTGGGAGGAGTTAGGGGGCGGCTGCCTGCGGTAGGTGGTGTAGGAGTTGTTCATGAGAGCTTTCTCTGGGGAAAGGTTGTTCGTCTGCCGCTGCGTGGTGGCGTACGCTCGTTCCCCGTACGCCACAGTGGAGGGCGGGGTAAATCGGGAGGGCGGATACAGTCTGTCCTCCCCTCTGTGGTCCAGGCTCACGCTGTAGGCGGGATGGAAGATGGGGACTTCGGTCGTTGGTCTGCCTGGGGAGTGCTGCTGCGGGGGGGTGTGGTACTGGCTCTGGCTGCCAGGGTAGCTGGCCTGGATTCCTGCTGGACTGTTGTGAGAAAATGGAGGAGGAAGAGTGTGTTTGGCCATCCTGGGGCCTGACGCGACAGAGACGACGCTCCCGGCCAGACTGGGTCCGCGGCTGGGGCTGCCCTGATGGAGGGATGATGCACTGAAGGGTGTCTCGCTGCGAGGGGTCCTCATTCTGGACGGAGGTCTCTCAAGCTCAAGGATCTCAAAATTCTGCTCCGGCATCCCCGGTACGTTATCGTACTGGGAGGCGTTGGAGCCTCGGTCAGTGCCGGGGATAAAACCCTTGGAGCGGGGCCGGCGGTGGGGCAGAGCACTGTCCTCTGGGCTGGAAGGGGCCCGGCGATGGCCCTCGGCTCAGGTGGACCTCTCGGGCCGCCGCCGCTTTGGCTGCTTCCAGCTTTGTCTCGGAGGGTTTGAACCAGCGGGGAGTGATGTCCCTGTGAGAGCTGGAGGCTGCGTTGGAGTTGTGGTTGGCGGTGGCGTGGCTCTGATGCTTCCTTCTTTCCACTGTGCTGAGCTGTGATGTAGGGGTGGCGGCTGAGGGCGGCGTTTCTCGCCTCTCAGGCGTGGTGGAGGTGGACTGCCTTTGCGGCTCATTGGGGATCTCCCCCGATCCCCTGGAGCGGCCGTCCCTCCTGTCAGCCTTGTGGTGGCGGATCGGTTTCTCAAGCGAGTCCCGCCGTGTCCGGCTGGGGGGGTGACTGTCCCGCTGGCGGTCCGGTACAGGACTCGGGTCCCTGGGAGGCTCGACTGGCTCGGCGTGGCTTTGACCGTTGGCCACGTGGTTGGCCCCCGCTGCCGCCAGCTCAGGAGGAAGCTGCCCGAGAGGCTTCTTGGGAAACTCTTCCTCTTTACCTGCAAGATGAAGACAGTGGAGACACGTTAGAACACCACCAGGAAACCAAAGGGAACGGTGATGGTTAAACACACTGTGTGGCGCTGATTCACATCAGATGAGGAGTCACAACAGGGACATGGATTCATGCAACACCACTGCCATAAAGAGGTAAAAAAATAAAGGAGAATTACATTCATGACGACACATAATCACATCTCCACAGGCAAAGAGCAGAGGACAGAGAAAAACATCAGAAATAGTATTTGATATTAATTCCCAGCTCGCTCAAGGGGCTCAATTAGGAAGTGACACTCAATTGAGTGGTCTCTGAAATTATGAGTTTTACTCTGTTTCATTAAACTGTACTTAGCTGCAGCAGTAGCCCCAGTCTCGAAAGGTCATACAGAAATAGTTCTTGATTAATGAACCTTGTTAAATGTACTGAGACTTGTAAGTACAAGCATTAAAAGCCACAGAAATAGTTCTTCACTTAAGAGTCACTACTCAGCTTGTTACTATTCTACAACCAGTATGGTAGAAGTTATAACATTTAATACTTTATCTTACTGCTTTACGTCCAAAAAAAGAAATAAAAAAGTACAGTTGACAGGAACATATACAGTACAGACACAGTGGAAGTGACGCTGGGTGGTGTTGGGGACTGTAAAGGAAAGTAAAGTGTGATCACCAGTCAGGAGACGGCAGTGGGAGGAAGATGAAGTGCTGTGGGACTGACCCAGGACGTGAACTTACTGTTACTGAATCCACAAACTAAAGTGTCTGTCCATGACGAGTTTATCCACTGACCTTGGCCTTTTTTCTCTGCTGTACAAATAGGTTAAATCAACAGGGGGAAACTAACCTAAGCTACCTCATCTTCCTCACACAGTGTTCCCTCATCAGTTTATGTAAAAACAAATGTCACAAAGATTCTTAAAACTGAAAGAGCTGTGTTGCAAAGTGCTCTTTGTAGCACCAAATTAATAGTTTCATGTCTTCTTTCCGGAGACTATCCCGTCCACAACAGGGGTAAGTAAACCTAGTCACAGTTCCTGAATGTATTTTCAGATGCAGTACAGGGAGAATGATAGTTCATTAAGATATTACTAAGAGATGCTGTAATTTATTTGGCGGTAAAGACAGTTAAACTACAAATTTTAGTCTAAATGAATGTTTAAAACCTGTAGCTACAACCTGAATATATGCAGCATGGCGTTTTATTTATAATGTAGCACACACGTAGAAATTATTTCATTGTTTATCCATTTAGATTAACTATAAAACAACTGTAGATAATTAGCTATAACTCTAAGATACTACAGTGATTTTTTTTTCATAATTTATTGGCTAAAGAGGCAACACGTTTTAATATAAATTCATGTTAAAAACCTGTGCAAGACATAAAATTTAATGACTTTAAAAAAAGTCCCTTAATTTTAAACTCAAAAAACTTAAAACTACAAATAAGTTCACATTGTGGCTGGTTTAAGTGAGCTTCCTTTAAAGTATAAAAGCATTGTTTGAGCCTGAACAGATTATATTTTGTCCTTACTTCATGACTAAGCTGTTCAGGGCCACCACATTGGTGGCCGCTGGCAGTTATTACTATGATTTTTATTTCACACAGCTGGAAAGAGGAAGTGTAGTGGGGGGAGTGTTTTATAGCATCCGTGGTGTAGTCTGTAAAACAAAGAAACCTGCCTAACCTTGCCTTAAGGATCTGCAGTCACACCATGATAGTATTAATGCTGTTGTAGACGCTTTTCCCTTGCTGACAAAGGTCTGAGGAAAATAAAATCTTAAGGAGGCTTTTTGGAGTTTAAGGGTCATAAACTCACATAAAAGATGTTACTCATAAAGTCTTCAGGGGGGAGGTGTGTCGAACAAGCCACCAAAAGCTAGAGTTATTGTCTGTTTGCTCATAATATAATGTAGTTTAAAGCTTTCAGTGTGCAGCACCTTTTCTTATCTCGTCCTGAAGGTACAAAATGATTACGTTTACTGATACTGAATATCAGCACAAATGATCAGCTATTGGTAGATAAACTCTGTCTGTAGGACTTAGTGACAAAAAAGAAAGGAATCCAGACTCTGACTCCCTATTTTGCTTAACTACTAATTAAGACATAGGAGAGAATACCACTCTAGATCCGATTCATCCAGCTGGTGTTTGCACAGAGTAAAATATACTGCGGTGGTGATGGTGGCTAGGAAAAGAGGAGACCGTCTCTTAAGTCAAACTAGGCCCAGTGAAGTTCAAAACTACAGAGCCATAAAACCACTGTCATTTCTCACAGTTCAACCACGTCGGATACAAAAATGCAGATTAAAAAACACCAGCAAATGTGGTAGCACATGGTTGTTAAAACAGAAGTTAAACAAAAGCCTCCAGTGTTGGAAAAGTGGCTCATTATCTTGTCAGCGGGCAGGGAAATGAACAGACAGCTACTGTTATAGTTGTGTGGGCTCCGAAAGAAAGGAAAGTTCTGGTTCCTTCTTCAGCTACAGTATTAAAGTAAAAAATAAATAAATTATAATTGAAAAATAAAGCGGCTGCTGCTGTTTTAAGAGGACAAACTATTGACTAAATACAGCAGGAAGACGCTATACAAGAACCTGAAAAAGACAGTTGAGGACAGGTGTAGTTATAGTTGTTGAGTTATAGTATGTTTCTGTGACACAATAACCCACCTTCTGTACTATGAGCTGCACGTTGTACTGGAAAAGTCAGGTTAATTTAGGAGAGTATCATATTTATATATAATAAACTGTAAGCTTAAATAGTCCATGTACAAAATACTACGATTAGCTACCAAATAGACTAGAATAAAGGTAAAAAACAAGTTTCCAGTTACAAACAATATCATGCAGTGCCTTCAGTTCGGCCACCAGAGGGAGCATTATGTCACTTTAAAGCCCGTAATAGACAGGGGTGAAATATCACAATTGCAACCACTTCATTGGAGTAAAGGCTTAAAAAAAAGACTTGAGAAGATACAAAGACAAGAGGAGAGCCACTGCGAGACTCCAAATAAGCTGAACTTATCTAAAAAATATTAATGTGGAGGATAAAAACAGCTGGAAGACTAGTTTGTGAAGGAAAAACCGGAGTGCTGCGGGACAGACAGGAGACAGACAGGACGCACGGACGGACGGACTGAGGGACAGATGGACAGAGACATGGAGAGAGGGAAGACCAGTCAGGATAGCCCACCGGTTACTGTTGTAGGAGGGAATGTGGCCCCCACTCACGGCCACACTTTTGTTGTTGTTGGCTAACATCGTTTGAAAGAAGAGGGAGAGAAGGCAGATTAATGAGACGACAGAGCAAGATTAGAAAACACACTACTACTATCACTAAAACAGCTACAAGCTAAAGGACAGCAGGAAGCCGCGGCACACATCCACCGGTCTCGTGAAAAGCCATAATACCTGAAGGGGCATTTGTTTCACTGTCAGCTGAACTGGGGGTGTTTCTGGGGAACGTTTGACTGATTGGAGGTCTTTTTGAGGGACCACGTCAGTATAGATTGCAGCTTTTCCATGCTGACTTTTAGAACTATTTTTCAATATGGACATATTTATGTTAAAAAAACAATGTTTTCTCCAAAGAATTTAGGATTGTTGTCTATTGTTCATAAAGCCCAAGGTGATGACTTTAAGTCGCTTGACTTTTTGTCTGACCAATAGTTAAAACCCCAAAACGGTTCAGTTTACAATAATTTAAATATAGAAACCCCTGTACATGTTACCTTTTGCTTGATAATGAAATTACTACTTATATTTTCCCCTCTTACTAATCAGGGATACTTAAAACCAAATAACACTACATTTAAAAAATACATATAGTATTAGTTCAGGTAAAGGGCTTCCTTCATACGATCAGTTCTGCATAAAATATAACAAACTGCATAATATTTTAGATCTGATTTGTAGTAAAATGCAAATAAAGATTTATAGTTGTCTCTCTGTGGTTCTGTTGCACCATAATCAGTCAGAAATGTCCCTTTTCGTATTATAGCTGGTTATACTTTGTCTGTGTGCTTCATTCTGTACCTGGTGCGGGCAGATCCAGCTTCGCCCTCCTGAGCTCCGTCATGGACGCCTGTAGCTGCTCAATCACAAAGTCGTCCTCGAAGTAGAAATCTTTGGACAAGGTCGCCTGCAGAAACTCCACCAGATCTTCCATGGACAACTTCATCAGGTGCTCTGTAAAATCCCACATAAACTAAAATAAGACCTTTTTCAGCGTTTTGAGAGGTGGACACCAGCTGGTATCAGTGGATGGGGTAAAGACTCTTACTCTTGTGCAGTTTGAGGATAGTGTAGGACATGGCAGGCAGCAATCTTTCACCCTCCAAGATGTAGATGTCCCAGATTCTGAGGGTGAGTGTGAAGGGAGTCTGGACACAGATAGAACAGATGGTCACAAGATCTTCTCATTGTTTCCCAGCATGCTGATATATTGCTTTGGCCCACATTGGCCACAAACCAAACACTGGCTCTAGATATAGGGCCTTTTGTGGCCACTGTAGTTTCTCCTACTTCACTTGTTTTAGTGCAGATTTGATGCTGTTTTCTTCCTGATTGCTGCTGGACAGTATGCCTTTATTTTCATAGCTGACCAGAGGACATTATTCTAGTACAGTGGGGGGGATTTTTGTCACATGAGGGTTTTCTTGCTACAGGGGGAATCCCTTCACACTAAACATTGCATATGTCCGGCCATGGGAAGTTTAAACAAAGGAATGTTTCCACTGGCCATAAAAAAAAAAAAACCTACAGCGGCAGATTTGTGGGACAAGCTTGCTGTTAGTGTACTCACTCTGTCCAGGAAGCACTGGAAGAACCACTTCATGGTGTAGAGACTTGTAAACACCTCTTGGGTATCCTGCAGCAGAAACAAACAAACCCAACAGAAAATCTATTCAGCGCATTAAGCAGAGTGTGAGAAGTTTCATGTGTCAACAATTACTCTTAACAGGGACAAAAACAGCTTCAACTTCGGTGATGATGAGGATAGTAGGTAGTATCATTGAGATCGTTTAGACTTGAGGCTTGTTTGTCTTCTATATGTACAGGAAACATAAATATCACAAGTATATTGAGCACATTTTTACGCCTTAAGATAAGGCTCCTGAAAATATAGGAAGTGTTGTAATGTAATGACATTATCCAACAGTTTTATTTCTGCTATTATGAGCAGTTGTTGCATTATTCAGCACCTGTTGCATTATTGATCACTACAGCAGTGTTGCGTGTCTCACCAGGTGTTGTTTCAGTTTGGGCATCATCTTCTTGAGGATACGGTCGTGGTGCTCCTGGAAACGCATCAGCTTCGGGAAGCCGGGGACAAAGAACCCTAAAGGTGAGAACAGAAGGGACGATCAGGTTAACCGACTGACTTAGGTCTTACCTTGCAGTATGTCTTTTATCCTCCTGCCCTGCAATTACATGCAGTATTCAGCCAGTAATCCAGGCAGCAGCTGGAAGAGGTCTGCAGCCCAACTGTAAGTCTTCTCCTTAGTTGATTGTACATATTCCCGGCTGTCCGTGCTAGTTGGTGATAGTCTCTTAAAACATGTATGTGTGTGCGCGTCTGGATGTTTACAGTCTATAATGCATATTTCCTGAGTGTAGTGGCTATTTGTGGAGGTTTTAGTGTCAGTTGCCTGAGATTTATGAGCTTATTTCTGCACCATGCCTGCTGACTAATTTGTCCTGAGTTCCTCTGCACTGATATCTTTTTTGTTGATAATTTTATCACATGCTTGACAAGACCATCAAAGGTTCCACAAGGCTTCAGTTTAATACCTTTTAGTCAGTGTCTTGTATGATATAAATGTCAAATTAAGGACATTAAAGAGCCACACCACTGATGTTCACTGGATGCAGCTGTGTCGTGTTTTGGTCGCATCCATCGTTGCCTTGTCCACGTGAAGCGCCTGTTCTTCTGCAGCCACGTTATTTATTATTATTTTGTGTTGTACAAACATAGTAAAGACAGATTTTCCACCCGTTTTTAATGTAGTATTTTCTAAATACTGGCAGGAAAGGTATTGCATATACTATTCCTCTGTCTTGCTACTTACTTTGACAAACACTCTCCTCACAAGGTTCATTAGTAGCTGTTGATGGGGTTTGAGCAGATTTCAGTATTGTGGATATTCAAATGTGCTTTCTCATTTCAACCTGGCAAACACCATCTGCTGAGGAAGATGATATAAGGTGATATGCTTCTAGAACAGCTACTAACAGACCTTGTGTTGATGTTGTTTTATCAGCTGCTGTTGCCAAGGTCAAAAATAAACATTGAATCTGAAGAAAAACTAGTTTTATCTCTGTGTTGTTGAAAAAAGGTCCGTAACAAATGACATGTATATGAATATTAAGTCAGTGAATTTAAAGCTTCAGAGACACAAGCTGCTCCAGCCACAATAGACCTGATGTGTTAATATATCAGAGGAAAGAGCAACAAGTGAGACGCTCTGGTCACATGCCCTGAAGTGTTAACACGCCCTGAAGTGTTAACACATCAGCTACAATGACGGCAGATGATCTCCAGCAGCTGCATCCAGTGGACATTGGCTGTTAAAATAGAATATGTTCCAAGAGATAAGGGCTTTTTTCTCTGCCCATGAAAGTGAGTTTAGATGTGTTACCATGCATGGCATGCTTCTGCCCAGACAGTAGTTTGACCAGAGCCCAGAAGGCGTCCTCTTCATTCATGTAGATCAGCAGCAGAGCTGTGATCTGACTCATGCCCTGGCAGTAGCCCACCTCCTGTAAACACACACAGTCGGGGTAGTGATGAGTTGATTCCTTACTGCCTCTGTGTCCATGAGCCCTACTTTGTTCCTACATAAAGGCAACATGAATGAACGGAGCAATCTCAGTTCTAAAACGCAGTGTAGGATTAGCTTCATTGGTTTCATTCAAATCAATTATCATTGGTTTCATTCAAATCAATTACAACACATTAGTTCTCATTCAGTAGAACCTTTTGGAAATTGACAGCCTGAATGTTTTTATCTGCACCAGCAATGATTGGAAATCTTATTAATGTGCTGCTAGTATTAAACGGGGACATTATGTGATTCATTATTACCTCTGAGTTCTGCATTTAGTGGAAAACATTTAAAAGTTGTTAATTATCTGTGTCCTCGTTTGTTAATCTGTCCAAAAATGCATCCAAAACCTGAAGTAACAGCTTGGAAATCCAGTACTAATCAAACAAAAACAGTGCTCAAGATCTGTGAAAGGCACATAGACAGATGCTGCAACCCACAAAGATAGTAAAAGCACAGTAACCTTTGTGTTTCCTGCAGACTGAGAGTGTGAATGACTCACCGTGTTGTACATGGAGTAGGCTGTGAGGACGTGGAAGAGAGCCTGCTGCCTGACAACACAAACACAAAACCACAGTTACCACAAAGGCCTGCAAAGAATCCAGAGTATGAACCCAGGAGCATCATTCACAGTTTGGATCTGTATTCTAACAGCTTGGACATAGATGAATGTGATGTGTGCACAATAACCTCTTCACACATGAAAATTAAAGACTGGAGGGCCAAATACGTTTCTTAATTTTAGACCAGTAGTGTGAAAAAGCAAATTACAATGGTGTTAAAACAGGTGTGGTTCCTGTATATGAGAGCTGTGGCTGGTTGCTGTTTCTCTTTGGCTTATAATTCATCAGAGACCGTTTGACAATCTCTGCAACAAAGCAGAAGACCAAACACAGAAAAAGGGGACATGAATCCTCTCACTTCCATATTGGGAACACTTTGAGCCCTCAGATTTTGGGAATCAGAGTGATAGATTTACAGTCTGATTTGCCACTTGCTTTTGATTATTTATACTTTCCACATGTCATTAATTCAACCATAGTGTGATAGTACACATTGTATGTTAAAAGGTCCAGTGTTTAAGATTTAGGGGGCACTATTTGCAGAACATTGCAGAAATGTAATATATTCATTGGTATGTTTTTGTTACCTTAGAATGAGCCATTTTTATTTAAGGAAGGAGTGGATCCTCTTCTATAAATCCACCATGTTGAACCGGCATGTTTCTACAGTAGCCCAGAGTGCATAAACTAAGCTAACTGAGCTAATTAGTCAGAAAGCTGCTGTCTCAGTGTCTCCGTTGGAGCTTTTAGTCACTTGAAGCACATTCACGGTGTATTGTTATTGGTAGGAAAGGAAAGTGTAGTAATTAATGCAGTGTATTCTGGAAATACGCACTTGACATCGTATCGATGCATGAACATGATGTGGTCCCTGTAGGTGCGGTTTACATCCAAGTCAATCTGGCGGATGTCGGGGGAGAGTCCTCTGGCCCTGGCCTTTAATTTCTGTGGACGAACCCAAAAACACAGAAAGAATAAGAGCAAATCAGTGACAGGAGACTCTGACTGTCTTCCATCACATTCACAGCCATAAACTCTCATTAACCATGTTCCCTTATGCTTGTATGAATTTAATTTGTGGTAACAGTACTAGTTTTGTCGGCTAGGACGTCGTATATGTGATGTATGAGACTAAAGATAAAAGGGATTATTATGGACACAGCTTCTTGCTCACCAGACAGAAACTTTCCACTGTTTCTTAGTTTACTGTACGCGCCCTCAACTCATAATTAGAAGTTTCCTCAACAACTGAAGGCAGCAATATATTGATCCTGCCAGCTAGACTTTCTAATGAGATCCAAAGTTTCTCTCACTGCAGAATAAAAAAAAAAAGGACTTTACAGCGTGCAGAAACGAGCTGTGCAGCTTCACACAAACGAAATTAAGCCTCCAAACCCACATCTTGCCCACAATAATTCTGGAGCTTACTAAAATCAAATAAAGCCGAGGTGGCTACTGACTCACTTATGAAGCTTTATGAGGCTTGTGCTGTAATGAACGCTGCCCGTGCTGCACTGATTTTATAGACTTAGTGTGGGAGCGAAGGACTGTAAAGCACCAGCAGGGAGGGAGAGTGTGTGTTTAGCGGCGAGATCCCGGCCTCCGTACCTCATAGAAGTCTTTCTTCTCCTCCTTTATTTTGGGAACGTCGAGCAGCAGACACCACACCTCCCCTCGGAGCTGCAGAGGGATTCCCTTATAGATCCTCCTGACCAGCTGGAAGGGAAGAAAACAGCAGGAGGTCATTGTTAGAAAAGGCCTTCAAAGAGGAACAAACTTTGCCCACCGCAGAAACACCCTCACCCTCACCGGCCAGAGCACAGTGGTTTTTATACATTTTTTAGTCGGACAAAACATCAGGACTTTCACTAAATATCAGATGGAGGTGAGACTGTGTTTCTGACCACAGCAACTTTATATAAAACACCTGACAGAAAATCTCAAAGCTTCCACCTGCAGCAATTCCAGTTAAGTGTCCCATAACGTCATTAAAGAACATTAATCAGCAATTACTCAGATTATTAATTAATCGTCAGTTATTTATCAAACTAAATATAAAGCACTCACTGGTTCCAGCTTCTGAAATGTGAGGATTTGCTGCTTTGCTGTGTTTTATATTATTTGCCCGTTAAATATCTTTTTTGACTGTTGGTCGGGCAAAACAGGGAATAGGAATAGGCATTACATTTGACTGTAGAAAACTGTGCTAATAATATATATAAAAGAAAAATATATTCATAATGTGAATAATCTTTAGTTGCAGCCAGAGTTTGTAAAATCTTACAAACCCCAGTAACAACTGAACGCTGCAGTGAAAGATCTTAGGGATAGTGTGGATTACTATCTTTACATTCTTCTTCCTCTCGAGCATTTTGACACTTCTATTATGAAAAACGCTCTATAAATACAGACAATTATTATTGATGTCATGCTGGATTTTGCTACAAATGAAGTCATTTCGTGATTTGAGGGGTCTGAACGTTTCATTTTCAATTTGTCAGGTGTTATTTAACCTGGAGATGTTGGACTCTCTGACCTTTAAAGCCACAGGAGGTGTAGATGTCTTAAACCTAAATATAATTAACTTATATTCTTCTCTTCAACTCATTGGATCCATTTACTGTGGCTTCACTGGTCCTGGCTAGTAGTTATCTATGTTCATTAATAACTTATAGAGAACCTTCTAAATCTAAATCTGAAAGTAAATAAATTATGAAATGCTTACAAGTTACAGTGTACAAAAAGACAAATAATCATAATGATATGATGCCAGGAATAGTGAAACAGGCAAAGTGGAAAAAAACCCCACAATTTTATCCGTTCAAAGGTTGTCACTGCAGGCCCACACAGATGCAATCAGAGCCTCTGGCAGTTGCCAAAAATGATTCAGAATGAGAAACCCATCAACCAAGCTGCTCTCATCCTGTCAAAGATACAAACAGTGCACGCACGAATGTACTCAGCACTCTCCTCGAGCAAAAGCAAAGGGCTTTGGAAGGTGAACCACGACCATCTGGCTGGACGAGCTCCAGGAGAGATTGTGGGCAGAGAGAGAGAGAGAGAGAGAGAGAGTACGAGAGACTGCTTTGCATGCAGAACAGTCCAAAGTAATTCAGTGTCCACAAAGAGATGGAAAATCAGTCGGACTCCGGGCGAGGAAGATTAAGTCTTAAAACCCAAACTGCTGGAACAGCAAAGCTAATCGGAGCAGTGAATTCTCCGTCTACAGCTATTAAAACCCAGCCAGCCGGAACAGTTATACAGCAGATATGGGAGGTGTTGGGACTGTAAATGCGTGTGTTCAGGTGACTGACAGGGGACACAAACGAAGAGGAAAGTCCTTCTATGTAGGTCTTCACAAAACATCCTGTGGCTAAAAGTAGCTCCCGACGTGCCAGTGCTAACTTTAGGATTCCACCAGGTTTTAGTCTGGGAATAATTCACCAGGCTTTCTGCGATAAAACTACCTCCTACGTCTGTGAGAGGCTGGATTTTGTCCAAACAACTCCCAAGTCCACATTTACATGAGTCAACGAGTTACAAGTGTCTCGCATCCAGATAAAATCCAGTTTCATGTGCACTTAGCCACATAAATGTCTCTGTTGGACAGGCTACTTAGAAATCAGAAGCAGGTGGTAATGCACCTGAAACTTTTAACTAACTAGAAGAAGAAGAATTTTGATAATTAAACAATGTAGTATTTATTTTAACAGCAACAGTTTTGCTAGCATTAGCTAAAAAACTATCCATAAGCGAACACAAACGTGTGTATAAATCGTATGTATGAACTATAAATGACACGTTTCCATCACCTTTGTGGGCTTAAAGTCACGCCGCTGAATGATCGTAAATCTAACATGCAGATCTACTTGAACAGTCGATATTGTGCTTTGTTTCATGCCTGAAATCTGACACAGTTTAGAAAATAATTTTAGATATATATTTGACAAACAGGAAATGATGTGTGGACAAAGCATGCAGATAATGTCTCATGTTTGGAGGACTTGGACTAGTGTGGAGTAGTAGAGCAATGTTAAAACTATTTTGTCCCTCACACTCCTGAATGAATGTTTTATTTCACACTGACTGACAGCCAATCACATCCATAGCAACAGGTCCTCGTAGGAGAACATTATACGCTTTATTTCTAACCTGAAATGTTTTGGTGCTTCAGAATTCTCACATGAAAAAAAAAAACAAAACAAGTCAGGCGGTGAGTGAGAGAAGTGATTTACAGAGATGTGCGAAGATGAGCTAAGAGCTGATGAAGAGTCATAAGTCAGCTCTCGTCTGTAAACGCGCCTGCGTGTCAGAGTATGATGTATGTGTGCGGTCGGTGCGCTTCCCTATTAAAAGGCAGCGTGTTGTGTGTCATCTCAGAATTAATGACATTTAGTCGTGTGTGTGTGTGTGTGTGTGTTGTGTAGTGAAGTATCCAAAGCCTACACTTCATCAACCACTACCACACACATGGGACCACTAGTCTAGTCGCAAACAGCCTTGTAATTACTCTGATGGGCGAAGTCAATGAGAGCATCTGTTAGACTTATCATCCTTTGGTTGTGTGTGTTTGTGTCTGTGTGTACACTTGAACACGTGTGTCAACATTTACATTTCTGTGAATCTGTGCAGTTCTAGTCTTTGTATTTACTGTGTACATACATACAGCTCATTGTTCTTAGGGATGTTAACTGTAAGATCCCCTGATTCTTTTAAAAAGGGAATGCAGATGAGTTTGTTTTCACATATTTATAAAATGTGTTTTCGGATGCAAGAAGACCATATAAACTCCTTCCTCTAGCATTGGCTCTGAACAGTTACTGATGTTAGCTCGGACAACCTGAAGACTGAACCTCACTTTGTAAGACTCGTACTCCACCAACTTGCACAGATTTTGTTTAGTCATTGACTGTCAGGAAGGTCAATAAACCTTGAGTAAACTGAGTAAATACACCAGATAACTCACTGAACGACTGGTGGACGACCCTGAAAATGACTGTCTGTTCTTGTACCAAAACACTGTTTATGTGCAGTTTACGCTGAGTTTGGTTGAGATCCTGGATTGAGAGGCATGCAGGACAATAAAGCGTCAAACACAGGTCGTCATCGGTCATCTTAACATGTTTAAAAAATCGTTAATTAGGGATGCACAATAATTACTGGGGCAGATACATTATCTGACAATAATGGGAAATGTATGTTATGAATTATCAGGATAATTCAATTACAGCCAATAAATATTAATGTGTTTTGAAGACTTTATGTTCTATGGAAGTTAAAGTATGTTTGTGAACATTTTTCACAATAGTGATGTTAGAGTTATAAAACTACAGGTTATAAACAGAATATGAAATTAGTAGTAGAAGTGTCGGCCAGGAGAAGCAGGTAATTGTCGGTTATCGTATCGCCTGAAGAAAATTCCATATCGTGCATCCCTAATGGGAACGACTGGCAGCAACGGGATCTAACCTCCAACTGTTTAGTTGAAGTTAAAAGACAAAAACCAGATATGGAACAAGTTTCCTGTTCATATCAGTATCAACAAACCATCCACAACCAGCAGCAGCCACTGAACAGTAAGCAGTCACCACATCAACAGGCTCCCAGCACCACAGGAACACAATTACTCCGGCTGTCCCACTTTCTACTCTGACCCAGCAGTCATTATGAAGAATGGCACTGGGGACACCGCTGTAGTCTTACACCACAGCCCGCTGCAAGATTTCACATGGCACTATATTATTACTGTTATGTTAAACACTACAACCTCAAGCCAAATTCATCGTGCGTGGCGAGAGGAAAAGGGGGAGAGAAACTTAAAAAAGCTTATGGCTGCTTTACATCTGCTCAGCTCTCTCGTACTTTCCTACTGCGGGCTAAATGTTCTCAGCAGCTGGCAAAAAAGGAAACAAAATAACAGAGATACCAAGTGTGACCTGTTTCCTCGCCGAGCTCAAAGCACGCCGCCGACCAACAAAGAGGAAAAGAAATATCCCCGAAGCTTTAAAGAAGAAAGAAACCCGAAAGAACAGAGCGATGTGATGGAGGCAAGGTCCAAACACTCCACAGTGTCCTTGGCTGTTACTCACTGTGAGCGTCTCTTTGAAAACAAAAGGGGAAACAGTGCCAAAGAATGAGTCTCACTGTGCTCTTAGTGCCAGCCGCCAGTGTATTTCACATTTCAAAGCTCGGACGCTCTACATGCCCACACACTAAATCCCCGCTCTAACTAAACATACAAATGAAGGACACGGTGAAGTGCTCCGGGCAACACCACAATGCAACATGGACCAAAAAAAAGGCACTAATGAAGGCCGCCATAACTGATACCTGCCCCCCTCTAATGGGGCTTGTGGGAGGTGGACTGAGAGAGAGAGAGACACTCCTCCACATCTGCTGCTGACAGGACGACTGCAGAGGGCACAAGTAGACTCATATGAACTCTCTCAGACCGATATGTTAGAGTGGGGAGATTTATATTATCATTTATTGATTTAAAGCTGCACTTTATCTATATTTTACATTAACAATTATAATATGTAACAGTTCTGCATTCAAATGTCTATAAACTAGACCTATCTTATATATGTTGTTTATTTGTGTACTTACTTTATTCCAAATGTTTCCAACAATGTTCAAACCCAGAGAAATACGAAATTAACACTGCGTTTCACCGGTCACCTGTCAATGATGTCATATCCCTTCAGTTTTAAAATACACTTTTAGATCTTTGGTGTCTTTAACCAGATGAAGATTTAATTCATGGGGACGTCTGGGATCTTAAGTTATCAGAGAAACAAGCTGAGCTAACGTTAAGCAGGAGCTCGGCTCGTAACATGACATCTTCTACTTTATGAAATTCATCAAACCTCGTCTTTTGTTATTGAGAGAGCGGCAGAAGTAACATATTGTACGTTTGAGTAATTAATGTGGAACTACTTTGATAATTGAATAATTGTTATAGTCATTTTTGTTGATTCCAGCTTCTTAAATGTAATATATATATATTAATTAAACTTAATATATTGTGTCGGACTGTTTCTAGGACGGAAATATGACATATGAAGTCATCTTCGGTTGTGATAAATTATAAATGATCACATTTTTCTGACATTTTATAGACAAAAGGATGAATCAGCAGATTAAATTGATAATGAAAATAATGGTTAGTCGCAGTCCTCATGTGAACGGCAACTGTTTGCTAATATGTGTCACTAAAAGAACTTTGTCACATCTTTATCACTATACTGATACAGTATGTGAATATTTACTAAAGTCACACATCAGCAAGTCAAACTCATCTTCATCCCATTGAGTCAAATGGTTGTCCTAAAACAAAATACTGCGAGGAACAGATGAGTGATAGAAAGGGTGAAGAGGAGAATGAGAGAAACAGAAGATCACCTTCTCACTGTTCTTGTATTTGTCCCAGCTCTTCATCATCTTCAGCCACTTGGTGGTCCTCTCCACCTCCATGTGTTTTTGCTGAGTGGAAAACCAAAGTGACACATTAATAACTCGCTCATCTCTCATCAGCGTTGCTGTGGATGCGTTCGCGTCCGATGGGAATTGCTGTCAGAACAGCTCGACAGTTAAAAAGGTACGACTCGCGAGTGATCGCACTGCGTGTTCAAAGTGGTTTGAAGCTGTGGAGATGCTCCAGTTTAAGCCTTCTGTGGATGCTGATGAGCTCATGTTTTACAGCTAAATAAGGCACATTTGTCATTTGCAAACAAATTCAGTGACAAGTTGTTTGGAATTAGATTTTAGTATCATAAGCATCATTTTAGAACGTCATTTGGATCCAATTTTGGGGGAAATTAAACTGTAAAATTATAGCATCAATTTCTTTTGGATTTAAGGTCTATCTGCAAACCCAGTACTCAAGTAGTATGTATGGTATGGGCTGAGGTTTGAATTTTAAAGTGTAAAAGCTCCTATTTCACATGGTACATGAATGCAACATTTGATGTGTGTTGACACATCATTTTACAGCCTGTTAAATAAATGTGTTGTGTTGTTTTGTTAAAAAGCAAGAAGAAAATTTGAAGATACTCAGAACAGACTAAGAAAATGTTGAATACAATGTTTTTAGTCAAAAGCCAAAATCCAAATAGATCTGAAATTGACAGGGACAAGCTGTTAATTGATCTAAATATCTATAAAAACTATTAAAGATACATTACTTGCAGTCTTTGGAATAATAACTGTAGCTGGCACACCTTGAATCAAACAGTTTCAGCACCAGAAACAAAAGATGAGGATGAATACTACACTAGAAGATCTTTGGGTTGAGAGCAGTAACAGATATATTTCTGTTGCCAGTGGCTGAATGTTTAAATCACGTTTCAACCACAGGAACTTTATCTTCAATTTAACTGTAGAAACCAGGGTCAAGATTAATTTCCCTGCTCCAGGAGGTAGTTTTTCTAACAGTTGGGGTGATGTGACGATGTAAATGTGTCAGCCATTAACAGATTTATTTAATTTCCTATATTGTTTATGCCAACATATCTATCACTTTAGTATCTCCAATTGCACGGTATAATGTCGGCAATGCTACAAATCAGTGAGCAGGACGGCTTTTATGGCTTTATTTGTTTTTACAGGATTTTTGCATCAGTGTGATTGATTCATTTCATCATATTCTTTCAGATTATGTACTATAGGACATCAATATGAGAATGTAGAATTATATACAGCATGATAGATGATCTTTAATGTCCTCTCCCATCAGGATACATCCATGTAAATGTCAGAGGTAACAGACAACAATGAGCACAATGTGTGTGTGTTTCAGTCAAAGCAGTCTAATTTATCTAATCTTCACGGTTTTCCAGATGCAGGACAAATTTTATGAATATGGAAAAGGGACTTCCTGATTTACATAGTTGCAAAGCTTCGTTCCCAGTTTATTTGGTTAAAAATGGGCCCTGAACTACACATTAAGTAATGAATTAACTCACCTTCGCCTCCACTGAGTCGTAGGATGGAAGTTCATTCTCACTGAGGAGAGGAGAAAGAGGAGGAATGAGTGAGAGACAGAGTGGAGAATGAGATAAATAGCCTAGGACTTGTCTCTTAACCTCCAGTTTATTTTTGTACTCGCTGTCACAGACGCAGTGGAAGAATCATAGTTTAGTCAACCCTGATGAAACAACTGAGTGATATTGGGGTCAGTGCTCGTCTCACTCTGCCTGACAGCAACATCAAACATGTCAGCGGTCACACAAACAGGAAATAACAGATTAGACATTCTGCTCGGCTTATCTGCGTTTCAAAGTCCCTGCAGGAGTTATTCTGTGGAGAGTTTCTCTTTGACGGAAAATATTCTGGTTTGGTCTCCGCTGAATGGTACAAGCCACACTGCACCGAGCACTCCCGTAAACACAGAATGCACAGGTTGTATTGGGGTCAGCTACAAATCTCCCATACGACAAACACAACTTGCTTTTCACAACAATGTGGCCTGAAATGGAGCTGAAATGTTAAAACTGAGCTATTGATTTCCATCTTTTATTAGTCCAACATGTCTAAGATCTTTTGCATTTGGGGATCATTGGAAAAAGGCAACAAGAGAGTGAGCATATAATTCATCATATATAAAGAACAAAGTTTCCAATGATAAATGAAAGATGAGTAAATATAAAATTGGGTTTAGAGCAACTTTCTTTCAAGGGTTGACCCGAATGCTTTGACTGTTGCCACGATAGTTCACGTCCAAATCAGTATTCTGGTGCTTTGGTGTTTTTTTACAGCCTGAACCTGCAGTGCTGCCCACACAGACTCTACAAAGTTATCTGATATTATGTTAGAAGTCTCTGGATATATGATGGATAATCTACAAGACCGGACCAGTTAAAGCTTTCGGTACCGTGCTGGTTTAGATAGGATACCTCATATTCCAATACCAGTATTTACAGGTGTATAATTGCCTTTTGTCAACTTAAAAAGTGTCCTCTTCTACGGTGGCTGCCAGAACAGACAATCCAAACACATTTTTCATGAGTAGTTTCTCCTTCATGTTTGGAAAGCTGGGGTGAGGCGAGGGGGGTGCACTCAGCAGCTGCATCCTACAACTTTATAACGTCTATTCTTGCTCTGCTCTTTCCGTCCACACAGCTTGTTAAGCCTAAAAAGTACACAGAGGAGATAACGGGTCATCTTGGCTCATCTGTGCCGCCAGTCTGCCCAGTCGGCAGCATCATTCCTGGGCTTCGTATTCTTCTTCTTCTGCCCAGTCAGTGACCTTCACCTCAGGCTACTTCTGTCCCTGTCTTAAACGATCACATAACCCAGATGTTTTTTTTCTCCTCCCGCCATCCAACGTCGTCTCCCTCCGTCTCACACTGCCTACGGTCTGGATCGTACCACTCTTTCCGAACACTGATGCCCTGTGATTGTGGCTAACCAGGCTGTTTCCTGCCTGCATGTGCCAGCCTATATATAACACACTCCAGCACAGCGCTGTTTAAGAGCCTCGCAGCCTCGCGACCAGGCCGATCCAAAGCCACAGACACACTCTTCCCTCAGCAACACTCGCCTTTACAGCCTCTCATTTTGTCCCTTCAGTGTGGCACTGCTGTTCAGACTGGGCTCTGGAGGTTTTAATGTTGTTATTAGGAATAATTATGGGTGATTTTTCTGTGTGAGTCCTTACTGGACAAAGCCAAAGCGGTCGATGACTTTGTAAAGGTGGAAGTTGGTGTCCTCCCAGGGCTCCACGGTGGCCTCTTTTCCCTGGAATCAACAAGAGAGATGGAAACACAATGAATAACACGTATATGCACTCAAGTTCTGACTGTCAGATCTTTTCAGAGTCCATGAAGACCTTGGATATGACCACTGAGCATAGTAAGTGCTAGATGGACATACAATACAGACGGCCGCATGTTCTTTGTCATACTGTGTCAATATATTGCATTGTACTCTTCCTATTATACATACTACTCACTGTACTTTTTAAGCTTTTATTTCTTTGTCAGCTTCCGTATTATGCCAACCGTCTCTTGTTGTGATTTTACTTGCTATTGTTATTTTTAAAAGCTAACTCTACATCTGACCCGCTGAATAGTAGCCATTGGCAAAAAACCACCACGTCTACAAAAACGCTGATTAATGTGGCTGAAAGTGAACAATGAAAGGATAAAAGACGCCAAGATCAACAGAAAATTAATGTTCAAGGGACAAAAAGGAAAAATCACAACAAACTGGACTTCACAACCGACGCTGGAGGAGTCTGTGGACAGCTAATGGAGGATCGTACACACATCTTTGGGCCCCATCTTACTTTCTTTCTGGGTTGATGTTCAAACCACCATTTAGAGTACATCAGGATTTGATATTGAGTTGACGCACGTATGACATTCAGTTTAAGATGACAGAAATAAAAGGGAGGAGAGTATTGGTCTAAATAAGAGTCTGAAACTGTAGTAACTGTAATTGTGAAGCATGAAAGCAAATATTAATGAAAGTGTACCACTCTGTGACGAACAGTTTCTGTGTATATCATCCAATCTAACTGAGTAACCTCACATTTGTTGGGTTATAAAACGGAAAAATAAAGTATATATTAAAAACAACATTCCCTGGTTCCAGCTTCTCAAATTTGAGGATTTGTTTCTTCTGTTTGTATAATATGACAGTAAAGTGAAGTTCTTTGGGTTTTAAACAGGCAAATAATGAATATGTCATCTAAGGCTCTGGACTTTTTTTTACTGTTTTCTCTCTGAGTAATTGCTTCAGCTATTCACAATTTACAACAACAAAAATAATGAGTATTTCCAGCACTGGTGCAAGTGTTGACAAATGATTACATTTTTTAAAAACAGGACTGTCATTTGAATTTGTTGTTTTGGCAACATGCTAACAACAAAGTTTTGGTTAAAGAAAGAATTTTAAGGAAATAAAAGGAATAAAACTACAAAAGTAGATTACTTTTACAGTCTAGACAAAACAATGAATCAGTTCATCTGAAAAACAATCAACAGATCAATCAGGTAGATCATTAACTGCTGCTTGTGCACTGAAATAAACTCAACAGTGACTTCTGATTGAGCTCCAAATTACATGCCACCCACGTTCCTCAGGGGCAGAGAATCATGTTTTGATTGGCTGCTAGATTACGAGGGGAGCCACGACTCCATCGCCCTTGGGAAGGTGTGTCGGTGCGAGTGTGTGTGTTTATGAGACGCAGAGAAACTGTGTGTGTGTGTGTGTGTGTGTGAGCAGCGATTAACAGGTGTGAAATGAACAGCCAGACGCCCACCTGCGTCACCGTCCGACTCCAGGCCTGGTTCTAGTTAATTCACCATCATGGACCAATGCAATAGAGAACCCACAGTCAGGGTTGTGATGGAGGATTGTGCCGAGAGAATATCAAAGAGAGACAGAGAGTGTGAGAAACAGAGTGGTGGAAGATTAGAAGATAGAGTTGAAACAGAGCTGATGTAAATCTCTACAACTTACTGCGCTGAACAATGTGTTCTCAAACTGATGACAGGCTGGGTTTTTGGATCTGTGCTTCAGATTTCATTCAAATTGAAGTTTTTTTATGAGCCGAGTAACAATTAATGAACCTCTAAACTAAACTTTCCCGCCACTCTGCACAAGCAAAATATCTTTCAAATCTTCCTCAGACAGTACCAGAGACCGAGGGCCCGTCTGTGGTTTCACAGGTCAGTCTGACAACCAGGTGTTGAGGTGAAATATATCTATATCCATCTCCTGCCTCTGCGCTGCTCCCTCAGACCGAACACCAGTTAAATAAATAACTCAAACACACACACAGAAACCTCTGAAGGTGGTTTATCGAGCCTCACAACATGTGTGTTCACACTCTGAAATAGGACTGAAGAACACTGCACCACCATGGGCGGACACGTTTGTCATTTCTCGCTCTGCTTCAAACCAATTTCAGGGTCAAATTAAAGCCAGACTCCGACTGTGATTGTGTGTCATCAGAACTCTGCGAGAGACTGCACAGTTCAGTCACCGTTCTACAATTATTAACTGATTCATAACAAGAATAAATGGATTCATTTAGCTTCTGACCCCTTATTACAGAGCAGTATCTCCTTGTTATCGCTCCTCAGAAGTTAAATGTCTACACACACTTACTTCCCCTCTCAGATTATTTCCTTTGAATCATTTTTAGAGGCCTGAGGGGAAAATGTACAGAACTTCACAAGAATGAAGCAAAAGATCTGCAGAAATAAACATTATTTTTCTCATTACCTACTTCAGTAATCATCTTCAAACACCCTAGATTCCTCTTGCGGGGGTCCTAGCCCCCAAGTTGGGAACCACTTCAATAAATTACCACTCTGATATATAAGGAAGAACAAAACATCTGAGCATTTACAGAATGTTTCAGTACACATATGTCATTAACCTTCAAAGAGTGCATATTGTAGGTTAGCCCAATATATGAATAAAAATAATTCATTATGACTTATTTATTATTTTTATTTACAGCCAGATTTGGACATAAAATAAGAATGTTTTCACTCAAACCCAGAGGAAAGGTGAGAGGACCATGGATGTGTGTACCAAACCTCATAGCCATCCATCCAATAGTTAGAAATCAATAGTCAAATGTGACATTTTTGGATCGGATCCCAACCGAGCATGAAGATGTTTAATTAAGTATTGTCTCCAAATATCTACAATCAATGGCCCTCCGATCGTGAAATATCAGCATCAGAGCCACGAGTAACAGACAATGGTCAGACCTGAGTGGATCTGTCACTCGGAAAACAAAACTCTTCATTTCTACATTCTGCAGAGACAAGAAATCATTTTAATATCCGCAAACAAACGGCTGCTAATGGCAAACGACGAGCAGCGACTGTGTGTGGCCGGCTTGATAACTGACTCCATTGAACTCCTCCCAACCCCAACAGCGAGAATGACACTGATTTAGCTCTGATTGTGCCTCATTGTGCCTCGCCCCACACACACACACACACACACACACACACACGCCTCCATCATCTCCTCTCTTCATGGTCTCTTCACTCTTAATGAGGCAGCTTGATTATGCAGCCTGCTGGACTAAATTAAAAAGACTAATTTACAAACCAAGCGTGGTGGGCTGGTCCGACTGATACCGGCGGGCTGTGGAATAGAGGTGTCACTCAGGAAACATCCGCATGCATACAGTGACACACACACACACACACACCACACAGCCGCCAACACACAGCACACACACACCACACAACACACACAGCCACACACAACACACCACACACAGCGGAGCATACAGCGTTTCACTGTACAGGCAGTTAATTAAAATGTACGAGATACCCTTCCCTACAAAAACACCCACATGATCCCATACTCTATTTTCAGGCCCACGTTGAGTAACGCGTTATCGGCCAGCCGGAGTCTGGATGAAGCCTTAGTTTTAACAAGTATTTCATGGCCACCAATGTGATAAAAATATCCTTATATGGCGGATTATTTTCGACAGATATTGTGATTGCAACCATGATTCTGCATGTAGTTGTGTGAATTATCAGTTTGAATCACCAATTTTTAGGCCCCCAAATTTTTTAACTTCAATTTAACTTCAAATGCATAACGTGAAAATTGTTTTAGGATGCAGTAGGCAAACCCAAACCATGTTTTCTTAAACTGGATTTGGTAGGCCACCAGAGGCATCTCTTGGGCAGAAACTACAAGATTTCATGAAGGCTGTTTTTTTACGTCATCGAAAGGAAAAGTCATGAAAGACTGATTATCATTCGCCCCTGGTAAACACGCTAATTAACACGCAGTATTAAAATCAAATGTCATTAAAGTTAAAAAATAATAAATCCGGCACGGCTGGTTAAATACATTGAAGAAAGACATCTCCCAGCGTTTAAGGGGGAAGGAGCGTTAAAAATCAGTCCCCCAGTGTGTGTAGCAGTTATACCTTATTAACTTTGCATCTGTGGTCCCCTAATTTCAAGAAGAAGCAATGAACATTTTTACTAGTTGTCTGCTTCACATCCTTTGGATTTTTTGCAATAGAAATAATGGAATAGAAAGAATAGAAAACAAGTTCACTTATTGGCAATAATGTGATTAATAAATAAAAATAACACATAAAATGCTTCAGAATCTTAGTTCAATCAACAGGAGAGATGCTTCACTTTCACTGCTCTTCTGACTCAGTTAGTGTTGGTGCACTGAACATTCACACATTCACAGTGTGTACCAGCAAACTGGCTTTTAAAAGTGTAATTTAAATGTTAATTTAATTGGCAGTTAATGAGCTCTGGCTGAGGATAGTCCATATGAAATGTGGCTCTCACGTGGTAATCACAGCCATGCGAGAGCGGCAGATCCTGCACACCGCTGACTGTTATTATTGTGTTTCACGGGCAATAAGGCAGCAATTTATGGAGGGATTTCACCACAGTGTTATGAAGTTTGGTGTCTCAGCATGAGTGAGTGACTGGAATCTGGCTGCGGACGACCACAAGAAAAACCTTTTGTTGGAAGTTACAGCCTCAGGATAGAGCTGAAGGGAGTTCTGACCGTACCTTGTCATATTTGGCGACTATCTCAGCCCGCTCCTGGTTAAGTTTCACCGCCGCATCCTGCTCGGTATCAGACGCTGCAGAGCAAACAGAGGAGGGAGAGAGAGAGGGAGAAAAGATGAATGAGTGAAGGCTAGTTTGAATAAAAACTGTGTCTCTGTGCTCAATGAGCTGCAAGCAAACACTGATCACACTTTTTGTGTTGGTATGTTTACTGGCTTTTACATCAAGTGTGTTATCCCTGAAAGCTGATGTCACAACAGTGTGTGTGTGTGTGTGTGTGTGTGGTAGTGGTCATTGTGGACATCCACCAGCAGCAGTTACAGCACAGATGCAGCAGGAAAATCAGTTGAACAACCATTTAAAATTTGCACAATATAGTGTCCTCCAATGTAAATGTAGGTAACAGTAAATGAGTGACGCTATGCTGACATCTAAATTATAGTCGTTAGCATGCTATGTTAGCCTAAATCCTACATCCTGTAGTGAATTGAAGTTTTGGAGAAGTGGAAACATAACACATAACACATGAATAGTTGTTGCTGCTAGATAAGGAGCCATCAGTGTTGTGCTAACACATATATTACCACCCCATGAGTGATGCTGCTGTCAACATCATTAACACAGACTATGTTAGTTTTACTTTAGGACTTCCTGCAGCTCTCAACCTAATCTGAACTAATTACAGATATTTTGTGTTTAATTTTAGTAAAAAATCATCCAGAAACGTCCTTTAAGGGACTTCCTGTAAGTTTTCTGATGTGTTCAAACGTGTTGCTCCTTGCTGCACATACACCACATTATTCTGTCATCACAGACGTGCTTTGTGTGACTCCAACCCTCCCTCAGTGTGCCAGAGCCAAGAGCCGACGTGGAGGACGCACACACTCAAACCAGTCCGAGAAAGCTTGGCGAGGCCAGCAGGAACTCTTCACTGCGGCGTGGCCAGCGTGTCAGCCTGACCTCAGCCTGGGAGAATAATGTGTGTTTGTGTGTGTGTGTGTGTCTATGTGAAGCAGGCTGATGAGAGGAGCTCCTTCAAACTGACATGCTGTTGTGACAGAGAGGCGTCACAGCGGCACAGAGAGGTTTTCTGTGTTTGCTGAGCCTACGCACCACATTGTGTGATTGCAAATGTGCTGTTGCTACACACACACTGATAACACCAAACGCACACACAGTGAACACACCTCTTACCTCTCTATGTATCTCAGGATTGTAAATCAACACTCCCCGCAACACACACACACTTCCTGATCCAGCCAGCCATGAGAGGCTCCAAACATCGGATGTGCGTTAACAAAGCTGGCACAGACTCTATTAAGTGGGGTCATGTTGTGTTTATGTTGAATATGGTGTGCGACACGTAGTAATGAAGGCGTATAATGAATCATACCTAAAAGCACAGAGAGGAGAAGCGGCCGGCTGAACTAACCACTGCAGCATAAAAACCATCATAATAAACACACTGAACAGGATTATATAACACATACTGATGGAGCGGTTATTATGTTTAATGATTGACGTTTATTGTCAGAATTCTTTAAAAACTTTAATGAGAAAATATTATAATTTGATTCTTATTTTCACATTGCCCTTTGCAGACACTAAATATTTATAGCTCTATCTATTGAAGTGAAGGCATTTTTTCATTCAGACATACACTGTGAAACCAGATTAATTAGTTAATTTAACTCATTGAAACTGATTACATCAAAAGTTTTAAGTAAAACAAACTATATTTTTTAAGTTAAACAAACATTATTGATCAAGTAGCTTTAGTAATTTTAAGTGACACTGACTTCATTTTGTAATTTTTATTTGTACAGTGAAAACTAAATATGTAGTAAAAGGTTATTAATCTATTAATATATTCCTGTAACTTACAAAACTAAGTTAGTGTCACTTAAATATACTAGTAAAAGCTGCTTAAGCAAGAATATTTTTGAACAAAATTGAGTTTGTGTCACTTAAAAAAAACAAGTGTAGGTGACAATAACTGACCCTAACCCAAACTTTAAATGGCAGGATACAATTATTAATATCGTAAACGTGGGACGACTAGTCGACTGATGGCTTAAACTAACAAAAGGACTATGAAAATCTTAAGTCGGCGGCAGCCCTAATGATATCTTTAAATTCAATATCCAAAAGTTCCACTTTTAACAACAAATTCATTAACAATCTTTGCAAAGAATCTTGATAGAAATAAAGAAAACATTTAACATTCAATGCTCCTCCACTAAACACACTATCAACTCTAAAACTTTTAATCTGACACTACTGGCTTTGGCCTTCAAAAACCCCCACATCATTCGAATCCCCACAGTTGGGGAACTGGATAATTCCTTTCTTTTTGACAGTTTTTCGGCCCTTCACAGGAAGTATTTGACTCCAGTCATTCTCCGACTTCCTCTCTGGGTCTCTGGGGTTCGATGGGAGGAAAGGCTTCGACTGGAATTCCAAAACGCTCCGAACAAACACGCTCCTTATTGAGCCGGCTGGCATTTTTATGACAGGATGGTGTGTGTCAGTGAAAGGCGTGTTGCTGTGGGCTGCTGAGAGCACACACAGCGGGAGAAGACGCTGGAGGGGGCAAACAAGGCAAACTGTCTGGGGCAAATAAACAAATACAGTAAAGCCTTTTTCTGCTGGGAGTTCCACCCCAGGAGGCCCTGTGGTTCCCATAGTGAGAGGGAGAGGAATTGGGGAGGAAATGGGATTCAGTCTTTTCTTTGCACTGAGGCTTAGTCTTAATTCTGAACCCCTTACAGCCATATTAGTATTCCACAGTGGCCTGACTTAAGCTAAATGCAATTAGACCCCTTTTCATGCCTCAAGGATCACATTGGCATCCGTGACGGAGATTGCGAGTGTGTGTTTGTTTTTATTTGCGGGCCGAGGAGCTCTCGTTGGACTCTTGGTGGGTCCAGGGACTTTATAGCCAATTGTAAAAGACCCCTTGTGACTTAAAGTTTACAGGGTGTTTTATCTGATTGGCTCTGAAATATGTTTAACATCATGTGCCCCCAAAGAGGTCTGAACTACTACTTCAGTGAATGGGATATTTTCTCTATTCAATTTCAGTGGAAACAAACTTGACCTTATTCCACAATGTGCACAATGTTTCCTGGCAAATGTCCTGATCCCAGTTCAAGAAACATTGGTCTTAAGAGAAATATATAATAGAAATATGTCAATTATTGGATGGATAGCCATTAATGAATTAATTTTGTACAGACATTCATAGTACGCAGAGGATGAATCCTACTCACTTTGGTGATCTCCCGACCTTTCCTTTGACTCAAATTAACTGCGGAAACTAGCTTAGGCTTACGGTCAGACCAGAACTCAAGGCATGGACAAATCACAATCATTAGCCAATACGTCTGTTCCACAAAAAGATAAATGGGCTGCAAAATCCAGTGTGATCAAAACTACAACATGTTTTAAGATAGGCTATGTTTGTTGTGTTCAAATTCAAGCAAATGACATGTTGGATCGAATTAGTTCGGACTGGAACCCCGTTGGTAGTACCTGGTCAGATTCATATTTCTTGTGTTTAGATAACATTTAAGAACTGTGTATTCCTTTGGGATTTTGTAGAAAAATCTTCTTCAGATCAAGGTATTGAAAAGGTTGCTGTTTCAGTGCAATAGTATCCAAAGATTCCAAACAAACCCAGGCCAAGAGGTTTTAAATGTCAATCTGTCAGACCTCAATAGAAGTTCTTGCGTCTAGTTTTCTTCCAATGATTGATGAACCTAATTTCTAAACCAATTTCTCCGCTGAATGGAGCCTCAAAATAAAATACCTAAATGAAATTAAATGCTTTGGTGATTCTGAGAAATGAAAGGCATAACTTCAAGTAGAAATAGATTAAAACGGGCCGACCAAACATGGATTAACCAATAAAACAGGATCTCAGGGAGAATTATTCCTCTAGAAGACAATCTCTCTGTCCATTTTCATCCTGCTTATCCTTCATTACAAGGCTAGAAACCAACTGCCCCCCCCCACTGAGCTGACCTTCCACCTCCTCCACTCTGAGCTGTCAGCCCCCAGCGGTGAGGCCAATGTCAGCTCCAGATAACTGTCCCTGTCCTGCTGTGATTAAAATGTCCCCGCTGCCCATCACCCGCCTGGCCAGCTGGACATCGCCCTGTCCCCCCCACTCTGCCCTTCACTCCTGTTCTTCACGCCGCATTCGGGTCACATGGGAGATTTACTGTCAGCGCTGAGGTCTGAAAGAGCCAGGAGTGTTGCATGCATGACAACTAATCTGAAACCATCATGATGTGTCACAAATTCAGGAAGTTAGGTGCAACTTCCCCAGCAGGGGTTTACCACTTAACAGGTGAAGTGAATGCAGGCAGGAGGCTCACACTGCACATTGTGTTTTATTTTGATCTGCCAGCTTTAAAGCCAACAGTGCTAACCGTGTTTTCACTTGTCTCACCTGTTAACAGCGAAGTGAAAAGCTGTTATTGCACATTCACAGCTGTGTTAATTGAAAAATGCAGACAAAGACATGAAAAGAAAGAGGTATATAAGTCAAATACTCTACATTGACTACAGGTCTAATTAAATTAAAATAAATGTTTATTTTGAAGCACATTTGGAAAAATGAACCTGGGTGATGATTGTTTGAATGATTTGTAATGTATTTTAAAATAAAAGTACTTTACGTTATTGAATACTAGATAGATGTCTAACTAAAGGACATTTTCCACTCTGGTGTGGGAGGATTTTACAACTTCAGGAGTCTTTCTGTCTAAAAAAGCTGCATAGAAACGTACTCAATGCTGCTTTCAGGTGCCGCTAACCCTTCTGACAGAGTTGTCTTAGTACGGGTGGTGAGTCAGCTGCCTTTCCTCAATGCTGAAAACAAATTGTCTAGACTTGTGGATTTTGCAGTTGGGGATGTTGTTGAAGCTGGTACTCATCAAGCTTCAGAACATTTTTGAGGTGATGAAACTGCATCATTTGACCAGTCCAATTTAAACAGACCCTAAAAGTGATTTTACAACTGGAAAAACTGATAATATTCAGTATAACTCATCAGCTACAGAAGGTATATATATATATATATATATATATGCTGTACCCCACGACACTCCAAAACTACAAGTCGTTGTCACATTCACTCCCAAAACCCCCTTTAATACTACAGTTAACTGTCAGCACTGTGGACAGCATGGAAAGACTGAGAGTACCAATAGAAATACTACCTCTACTCCTTGTAGCTAGCAGTTTACAGTCACTAAAATTAATTCTGTCACTCTCCACTGCCTCTGTTACATCTTTGCTAGGCTGAGCTAGCTTCTTAAATGGCTCTGAACCACAGTCTAAATGCCAAAACGTCCAAAAAAAGCAAATTGAGGAAAAAGTCTGCAGAATCTGTAGCCCCGGTTTCCTCAAGGAGTCCCACACAAAGACATGGAGCTATTTCAAAGCCTCACAGAAAGTAAAACCCCTGCATTTCTTGGTTTTTGCATTGACGCCTTGTCCTTGAATCTCAAACAACCCAGCAGTGTCCTACACACTGCAGGGGCGAGGGAAATCGAACACTACAGTAGCCATGCTTTTATCCTTGTCTTCCCACTTGACAAAAGCCTCAGTTGAGACTGAAAGCTTTTAAAAAATGAAACATTCTGGAGGAATTGTGTGGCCGAAGACTCCAAATGAGACGTTTCACAGTAAAGTCTAATTGTGCTGGCGACCACTACTGTACAAGCCATGTGACAGGAAGCGTTGTGGGCTGTATTTGTGTGTTTGTTCCTCATTATCATTGCTGTTAACGACCAGCACTGACAATGAGCAACATGACAAGCATAATCACAGCCTTTCTCGTTTCCTCTGCTCTCCTGAAGCCCTCTTTAGGCTGCTGTAATGAGCTCTCTTTGTTCTTTATGTTAAGGAGTCGTCGCTTGTTACAGCTCTTTGCTCCCCTGCAACCATTCTTTATGCATCTCTCGCCCCCTCGTATAGATGCACAGAAAGAGGAATAATTCTAATAACAATAATAATAGTGGAAGGGTTGATTTGAGAAGAAAGCTTTGCTCAGTTCAGCTGTGGTGTTTCTCTTTCATCACACACATTCAGAGTACCATGGTGTCCAATTATCCATGTGCACTCTAACCATGCAAGAACCCCACAAGTTTAACATGGCAAACCACTGATAAAGTGATATGTGGTGATTTCTTTCACACAAGTGACACAATGAGGCACACACACACACACACACACACAGACCAAATGATGTCACCCTCTTAACAAGCAGCTGATGAGGCAACTGCAGACACTTTACAGTACACTATTATGTGCTATTACTGTTCTGCAAAAACAGTCATCTGTCTGTCTCAGGCTGTACTTCCCACCTGAACTCGACCACATGAACACGACGTGACAACCAGCCAAGACTTTAGCCAACCTGATACCAAATGTGGTTTACAGGCCTCCACGGTGTCTGTACTCTGCACCACCTTCCCAATGTATTTAATCCTGCATCCCAAAATGGTGACTGTTCTGTCAAACATTACAGCAGATTACAGTGGAACACAGTCGGATCGGGCTAATGTTAGCAGGCAGTGACGACTGCTTGCACAAATAAGGATTTTATTTAAATGTTCAGACGAAGAGTCACACTAGCAGCCCTGTCAGGCTGTAAAGCCCTTTACACACATGCAAACAAAATTGCTGAATGAATGAAAAATAAGGAGAAAACTTGCTATTCTAAGAGCTTTAACCACTACGGGGTAAAGAAAAAGAACTCCTGAGGCATCAGAGGGAAGCCGATGTACCTGAATGAAAAGCATTAAACTGTCTCAGCTGCACTTTAAGCTAAAAAAAAAACCATCCTCAAGTAAAAAGGGTCCCCCATTTAACAACTGATGACAGAGTACATCATTATCTGCATGCTTGTGTTAGCATATATTAATAGCATTCTAATACTGGTGCATTATATTTGGAAGCAGAGTGTTAGCACATAATAAGTGGGTGACATCACTGGGTGTTTCACTGGCCTGTGCAACACTACATCACAGTCACGTCTCGTCCGTTGCATGCTTAATGCATGTTTATGTTAGCACGTTAACACTTGCAATAGTTCAATGCATCAATCTCAAATACTTGAATATTTAAAATAAATCAGTGCAGGTAGTCCAGTGGACACATCCATTTTCCCTTACATATATATTACACATATTAGGAGCTTCATACACTTACAAACCACAAACATATCATGTCCTGGAGTCAGTATGAGGTTGTACAGGCCAACACAGCAATTTGTGTACTAATATTTAATACATTTACATCTGTAAAGGAGACAAAGACGTACAGACTGAAAGGAAAAATCCCCACATTCTTGGATGTGAGTATAATTCCTATCCTGCACATAAAACCACAGGACAAACCATCCCACAGGTTTAAATCAAATTATATAAACCAGTTAAAACTAAAAAAAACTCATGTGTACCCATCACATACCAGAGTATTAAGTAAATATGTACACAAACCAACTGTATCGTCCAAACTGAAGCAGCAGAAATGCCCAAATCCCCAACTGGACTGACTCTGTTCGTCTTTTACCTCTTTTCAAGCCATCCGCGGGGTCCTCCGAGCGAGCCAGGGCCTTAGTCCGCATCAGTCACAGTTCAACCAGGTCCAACACACCAAGAGACAACCTGAACTACCTCATCCCATCGCTGTCACTACGCACTGCCCCACAACAACTGACTGAGAGGAAATATGAGCGGGAGGCAGAGAGAAGTGAGATCAGAGACTCTGAGTTCACAATGCCACTGTTTGTTACTGTAGCTACAGTACAGACAGACAGACAGACAGACAACTGACTTCAGGAACGAGTCAGTCCCACTCACAACATTCTCCTCTCAAACACAACAACACAACAAGCTCTGTTCAACACATCAGACAGAGGGAGAGAGGACAGAGGGGAGGACTGTTTCCAGCCAAGTGAGGAGAAGCTTTTTCGAAATGTCACAAAAAAGAAAATGTGATCAGATGAGTTCAAGTCTGTTCATTTTCAGTTTCATCAAAAAGCAAAAAATGCTCTTCTGAAACGTCCCCGTAGAAAGAGAGCGGACCATTCACTGAGCTGATCACGCCCCGGCAATGTGATTATTTATCTAACAAATTTATCAATTAAACTATTTCCCAACCGTTCTTCTTTGGAAACTTCTTTGCTGCACTTCGTTTGAAAGCACGCACCAGTGGAAAGTTGGGAAAGAGAGGGAAACCGACGGGGGCACATGATGACAGTTTGATGATAAACAGTTTCCATTAAAACTTCATTATGAAATGGACGTGATGTACCATGAAGGGTCTTGTGATGTGGCGTTTCAGAAGAAAGAGGGAGGGTGGGGTTTGGGGAGGCTGAAATGAGCAACAGGCAAAGCAAAAAAAGAAAAAGAGAAGTTCTCTTGTCATCTCATCTCTATCTCCGAGCTCCATCGGTACAGGAAATATCTGTGTTTGTGAGGGGAGAGTTGGCGGATGGGACTTAAGTGCTGTTATCACTTCTGAAGCTCCAGGGTCACAGGGAGAAGGGAGGGGGGCGGGAATTAACCGCTTTTAGACGTCATGTCCATTTTCTGGAAGTCCACTTAATCCATGTTTCTATTTGTGTTTCTCCAGTCAATACCCAGAGCCACTATGTACCCATGTGCAACACATTCCTGTACACTCTTTTTTTAGGGCTGTCAGCTATTGTAAATTTGATCATATAATCAAATTGCAAAACAAGATGGATATTTAATTACATAAATTAATATTCGCAGGGATTACAGCATTATCAAATTTATCATTTTGATTAGGCACTCACAGCACATTTCATTATGGTTATTTTTAGGCACTTTAGGGAAACATTACGGTCTTTGTTTAACACAGAAGTCTGCAGTGACACGAAGCACGAGACACAATTTTACTTTATTAACATTAACCCGAAACAACAATTTTTCTCTGGCCTTTTACCAAAGGGATATTGCTGCCCAAGCCTGACTCCACGGGGGTCGCAGGATGTGAACCCTAGGGCTGGGCGATATATCGGCTATTTTTGTCATTTTATTTTGATGAGAGCCACTCAGTGACGTTCAGCGCCGCAGTTCACACACTGAGCAGGGAATGCAGTACAATTCCAGGGAAGATGAGGACACAGAGAGGCATGAAACGGGTAGAAGAGCGAGGGAGGTTGGGAATCAGAGAGGCAGCGACGGCGTGTAGAGCCAGACTATTTTCACCTCTAACTCTATTAGATGGTTAGACATCAGAGCTGGTCATTGCTGGAACAATGTAAAGACTAATAAACATGGTTTGTTGAGTTTTATTTTGTTTCTGTCATGTTTGAATAAAGTGTGTTTTAAGATTGCGTAATAAGGTCTCAGTTCAGTATAAGAGAGAAACTTGAGAGAAGAGTGCGTTTGTATTTTTCTGTTTAATGCAGGAAAATTTGTCTTTTTCTTTCACCTTTCTTGACATTTGGTGAATTTATTCTGTTTATTAAAGCTATTAGAGCTTGTTGCATGTAGTGAACACACTACAACCACTGGGCGGAGATTGACTCAGGGTGGTGGATGGAAAAAATGTTACATATTGCCAATGATACACTTGGCGCTTCCACTAAAAACAACGCTGTCTGTGAACACAATCCAGCCACTATTTCCAATCAAAACATAATAGGGAAAAGAAATGAGATTAGATAAAGATCATTTGGTTTTACAGTAAAGGAAGTGCAGCTCTGTAAGATCACTCTATAACCGCGAGTGCTGAGTCTTCTCGAGTAAAACGATCTGATCACATTCATTTCCAGACTCATAATCTCCCATGCAAACTTTTATGTATATTTAATCAATAATTCATGCCTATCAACTTAATAATTACGAATCAGGGCCTTCAGTATTTGTAGCTCGATGTGTCAGATACATATTTAATCAGCACTTCATATCTTCTGTCTCATTTTCAGATTGGAAGCTTATAAATGTTGATGAAGCTGCCAAAACACTGTTATGTGTCTGCGTTCTCCGCCAACAAAATATAGGTCGCAATTGAATCTTTGAGTTTTGGTCAGATTAATTACAAATGTTGAAACCTGAATGGATCTGACCTCCACTCCGGCTCTATGTAAGGGAGAAAAAGCCTCTGAAAGAATAATGGAGCCCAAGATAACAATATAAAAAAGAAAAACTGAAATGAATCAAATAAAATGTCAGGTTATATCTCAACATCGGAGGAAAAACAGAATTTACTCACCAGAATGTGACAGTAAGTTGACCAAACTGTAATGTTTCAACTGTAAGGACAACATATTCTGACATTATGGTTCTCTAAATGCAGTCAGCTCGTCTTACAACTGGCCACTCATTTACTTTACTCCACTATCTATTTCCTGTCTTTAGTACTGTATCTGAGATGCAAACGGGCAGTTTGATGAGTGGGTGGGCATCCTGGTACCGCCAAGCACAACAAAATCTACCAAAGGCAGCAAAAAACACACCTTTGACCTGAATGTTTCTGCGCATAAATTAACTACAACAACGCAAAAATACAAAGCAGATGGCAAAATGCTCAGAACGGGCAACCTGAAATGAGAAAAAGTGGCTCATATTGATACTAATATAATGACCGGCCTCAATACAACACATTGTCACTTAATCTAACAATATTCTTGTGACATGAGGAGGAAAATTTGTGAAATAATCATCCAGAGTTTTCCCCTTGTTTAAGCGGAATCTAATATCAAATTAGAACTGATTTTGGCTCAAATATATGAACAATTGGAATTTTTTTAATGGAAAGCCTTTCTTCATGTCTGTTTACAGTATGTCAGTATGTCAGCCAACCCTAAAGGTCTTTAGGAAGTGAAAATGAGTGGAAAGTGTCCCACAATGTCTTTGCACAGGGGACAGGCGAGCGTAATATTAGAGGAGAGATGAGCAGAGCGCCGCAGCACCAATACACATTCCCCACAAGGCAAATATTAATCAATATCAAAGTGTCTGTCAGTGGGCGAAACAGCAGCCTGGAAGATAATTAGATGCAGTCATATTGTTCAAAGAGGATAAATGTGGGTACAGATCAGAGGCAGTGAGAACTAAATACAGGTATATCACGTAATCCCCGGAGGCAGATAATCATCAGATCATTCCTCCTCTTTTTACATGCATTTTAAAATCGCAGCTGCTGTTTAAATTATCTGCTCTTTCTCTGAACCTATCAGCTGACTGTTAACGTAAAGCACTTTGAGCTGCATTTCTTTTATGACAGGACGTGTATTATTATCTTATCCGCTTCAAAGATGGATTGAAGCGCTGCAGCTCTGACATTTTCAGAAAGTGAAAAAAGTCACTGTTCCTCAATGGCTACGAGTCAAACTTCCTCACTGGTTACGGTTCTGAAGTCATTTCCTTGTTTCTCTGGCATGCAAACAACACTTTTACTGCCATTACACTGTTATTAAACGCAGATTGACTTCTGTACTGTATGCATATTATTACCCTTTCAGCTTGACAAACTCAACCCCAAAATAAACCCTGTCAAAATAAAAGACTGGGGCTGATTTAAAGGCTATATCCCTTCAAGTGGACTTAATTAACTGTCATCCTCTCACACGGCGCATGTGCAGATGACTAATGGTGGAAAAGGTGCCTCTGTGGTTTGAGAGCAAAACCTGTAAATCAAAGCCAAATGGTTTACTGATCATTGACAGAGAAGAGGAGGTGAAAGCTGATCATGATTTTATTTTAGCATAGAGAAAGAAGATCAAAATTTTAGGGCGAAACTTGAGACAACAGCAAGTGTAATGAATCACTGCCTGCAGGAACAATGCGTAACATATTTCTTTTTTGAGTAACCAGCTTAAAACGCACACATGCACAGACAACCCCACTATCAAATCTCCCACTCGCTCCAGCAATGAATTCATTCCAGAGAACAAGTTTGATCAAATGCAGCCGATTGTCCTGACAACCTGTGACGCTGCCTGGAAACTGGTGCCAACATCATGACCGTCACCAGTTTGTCATTAACAAGACGGGACAAGTCAGGGCGGGTGGCACCGGAAAACAAGCGTACGCATTAGCAGCTTTCACTGCACAGCCAGGGATCAGACCTGATGACTGCAGCGAAGGAGAGAAAGCAACGAACAACTGAGTTCAACTGATGTGGGTTTTCACAAGGAGTCGTGTTTTCAATACTGGTAGTTTCGGATTGATGCTGCCAGAACCTTTTCCGGTTTGGTTTTTAAAGTACTTTCACCTCATTTGTACTCCAGGGAGACTAGAAACCACTTGATAAATCTAATAAAGCTCAAATACAGAATAAAGAATTAGTATGTTTCTCCTCACATTTCATTCTTACCCAACTACACTGACTGAAGCTGGGTTGGAACATGATTGCTGGGCAATAATTAGATAATATCATGCATCAGCTTCAGTGAATCTCATGATGAGCGTACTTTGGGCACCATTTTCAAGCTCTTACTCCTGTGCAGTGTGTGCCAAACCATTCATTAACGTTTTGAGCCACGCGAACAATGAAATAAATGCAATATGAAAAACAGTGGGCAGTTAAGCTTAACAGGATACAATGAAGGTCACAGCATCATAAAAGTCTACGGCCATAATTTGGAAAAATTAGCTCAATTCCTTTTTAGAGTCAGAAGCTGGCTCATGTTTGCTGGTATTAGTGTCAGCAGTAGTGAATCTGTGTGCTCAGTTAAGGGAAATGGTCATTTTCTTTATGTCATCAGAGTTGGCTGAAAGTTTTGTACAAAGGTTCACACTGCGTTGGTCAGCTGGCAGTGGAGCGGCTCCAATG